ATTAACGTGATCAGCATCCGATATTGGTGCAGACCACAGGTAAGTAGGCGAGGGGACACAGGGCCAAGTAGGGAGATCTGATCTCCCTGCTGTCTCAAGAAAGACAACCTCATAGCCAGTGCAGAATTCTGGGCCGATAAGTGAGCCCAGACCCCAGAAGGCCACCTATGCACCTATCCAGCTTTGTCCGCAGGCCATGTCAGTGGGTCACCAGTAGTAGGAACAGCCAATCATATTCATCAGGCACTAGGCAACTGCTAACAGTAACAGCGGCCCTGCCCTCCACTAGAGTAATTGATTGACCATGGACACTGAGGGGCTGCTTTTTGAGTATTTCCTGGAGGTTTCTGTGAGGCCTCACCAGGCAGCCAGACTTGTGAGGCAGCTGATCTCCCGCTCTGCGTACCGCTGAATTCTACGTAGGTAATCCAGCAGTCCCATTTCCCCCCCCCCCCCTTTTGGAATGGTGGGGGTTATCCCAGTCCCTACTGATCTCAACAGGGCACAACTGTGTATTTGGCTGTACCTGTGACAAACTTCCCCTCCCCTATGTGAGTTTGCCACGAGCTCTTGGAGGAGCCTTCTTGCCAGCCTCCTGCCCACAGACTATGGGCCCTGCAGGGAAAACCTGTAAAAGCCTATTTAAATGACTTGGTTTGTGTAATTTCCCTGTACCGTTCGGGAACCGAACAACCGCACGAATCAGGGACCACTCAGGAGCTTGTTAACCCCTATAAACACCTTGGAACAGTTTTCACCTCAGTGTTCTAATTGTTCGTCTGGGTGGCCACAATTCGTATGAACGACCATGAGCTGGCGGCCATCTTGTTCGCATGAACGCAGGCAGCCATGATCACATGCGTTCGGTTTTTACATCACCCAGAAGGGGGATATCAGGGGATGTAACTTAGGGGGTTTTATGTATTTTTAAGGTACTTTTGGGGTGTTTGTGAAATGTGTGTTTTTTGTGCCTGGAGATAAATGAGTTTTGTACAGTTCCTGACTTAATTATCTCCCAGGCACAGGGGAGGGATTATCTTGTTTTGTATGGCAGTCAGGGCTGCCATCAGGGGGTGACAACCATGATGGTTGTCACGGGCCCGGTGGTCCTGGGGGGCCCGGACTGCTTTGGCAGTCCCGGGCCACACATTCCCCCTCTCCACGTATATATAGTGATGACCGCGTGCCCCCGGCTCCCTTTACTTGCAGAGGGGGCCCAGACTGCAGCTGTACTTTACAGCTCTTCCTGCTCTCTAACTCCCACGAGACGTGCGGCTGTCAGAGCATTGACACGGGTTACCATGGCAATGCTCCGTGTGGCACGCACGCCACGCTCGCAGGGAGTTAGAGAGAAGGAAGAGCTGTAAAGTACAGCTGCAGTCTGCTGGGCCCCCTCTGAAAGTACAGGGAGCCAGGGGGCCCCACAATGCCACCGGACCACCAGGAAATGGAATCTCCCCCCTCCCTGAACCAGGTAAGAAGCAGGGAGGGGGGAATAACATTTATTAGATTTAATGTGGGGGGAGGGGAAAATTTTCTTTTCTTTTCTATTTCAATTTTTCTTTATTTAATATTGTTTTCATTATATTTTGTACAACATTCATACACTAGTAAACACACACACACACTACACTAACACACACTCTGCATCCACTACACTAACACTCACACTACATTCACTACACTAACACACACTCTGTATTCACTACACTAACACACGCTCTGTATTCACTACACTAACACACACACTGCATCCACTACACTAACACACACTCTGTATTCACTACACTAAGACACACACTGCATCCACTACACTAACACATACATTACATCCACTACACTAACACACACTCTGCATTCACTACACTAACACACACATTGCATCCACTACACTAACACACACTCTGTATTCACTACACTAACACACACATTACATCCACTACACTAACACACACTCTGTATTAACTTTATTTATTGTAATCACCCAGAAAACACATCAAACTAATTTATTACACAGGCCGAGGTCACGGAAGCAAGAAATCAGAATAAACCAAGTTACAGGAAAGGAGGATACAGAAGTGCTGTGGTTTGTCCCCTGTTCCAGCTAGGAAGCAGAACAGCTCGTCGACCACTTTTGGGCCTCATTAGAGGCACGTCAAGCAGCTCTACAACTTCAGAACATGGAGAGGGGCTGTTGGAGTGAGGACCAGACAGTGAGCGGGCCTACCTTGGGCACTCAAATCCTGTAGGCACCATCAACTTCTGTTGTAAGCCTGACTAGGCCAAAGGCCAACAGTGGCAAGACCCATGTGCATCAACCACATGGTTTGAGGTCGTCCCCCTCTACGTGCAGCAAAGTATAACCAGGGCCTTCTGTTTGTCCTCTACAGGGAAGGACTGGACTTGGACTCTAGGAGCCCCTGCGTCTGCAAACAGGCCTGGAGGGATGCCCAGCATCGCGCCCCAGAAGTCGCTTCCATGCCAATCTGCTGTACATACCATGTATACCTTCCGAATGTGGGGATAGGCTTAACATCTTGTCAACTTGGGCAGTTTCAATGCTCTACAAGCTAGTTTTCTAGTTCTACCATACTAGAAAGCCCCCATGTTTGATTTTTAGTTATAACTTTTATGCTTCTGTTTATTTTTCTGAGATGCAGTTCAAAGCGTATACAACAGTGCAGTAATACTAATGTGTACCATGAATCAGTGGTATTTCTCTCCTGATAACCACGTCTGGGTCTAAATCTCAAGTTTTCCTGCTTTACCACTAAGAATGATTGTTTTCACTCATATATAGCTAGCATAGTTTAAATCTAGCTCGCAGTCTCGTGTACCTAGCCTACATATGGAAAAGCTAACGCCTGCACACAGGACCAATGTTTCTCTAAGCCTAAGAGTACAGTTTTATGTTTGACATAGACAGGTGGCCTAGCTTGTTTGTTTTTACTTTTATTATTAAGAAATTAGATATATATCTAAATTATATATGTTATTGAGCTAAGAATGTTTGACTTCTAAGTTCTATCATACTGTCTTCTTGTATTGCATTGCATGTACCTCAATAAAAAATAGATGGACAAAAAATAATTCAAATCAGAATGGTGAGATAACATGGAACATAAATTAAACAGCTAGTTAGAAGTTGGCTCTATATTGTACAGGCATTTCCTCAATATCAGGTTGATGCAGAGTATCTTTATTGCACATAAAACAAAGTAAAACTATGATGATACTTGCACAACATGTTTTGACCAAACTCAGTGTCTTCCTCAGGTGCATTCTGTGTTTCCCCCAAGATCAGACCGGGGCTCTAGGGCTTATTTTTGGGAAAACCAGAAGCAATAATGCGATAGAAAGCTGGTGTATGTTAGGGGGATTTTCCCCGAACGTAGACCAGTTCAATAGTGCATTCAATCCCGCTAACCTATGTTTGTGCAAACTTTCACGCACATAGAATCGCGGGATTCCATTCACGAGTAAGTGAATGTATGTTCAGGGAACCTTACTTGCAATTGGAATTGCGCGAATCAATGCTTATTTTTGGGGGATGTCTTATTTTCTGGGAAACACAGTATGTTCATACATTGTCCAAACATCCATATATATCTTCAATAATGTTCTTATTTAGTCCAGGTGTGTTAATTCTCATGAACCAATGCCCATTACCAAATTTGGTCAGTTTCCTGTGGCTTTCTGCCACCTCCAACATGGTGGTACATCTAGTGCAGAGATATCTGACCTTCCCATGATGGCCACACATCCTTTTGCAGCCTTGCCCTCTTCCAAAATGTCTGTGCATCAACTTCCTCTGGCAGGTTTCCTGTCAAGCCTGCTTGTTTCTAGAGGTTCTTACCTGCCCAAGATGGTGGCATGTCCACATCCTGTAGTTCTGAGCCCGTGTTCTATCAAATTCGCCAACCCGTGAAAATCCCCTGCCCTCGTCACTTCCGGTGAGGGGAATCAGCTGGATCCTGTGCTGCACATGCTACTAGCACTCCTGCTACTCCTCCACAGCAAGGTCCTGGAAGGTAATGAACACAGCCATGTCCTGGAAGGTAAGTAACACAGCCAGGTCCTGGAAGGTAAGTAACACGGCAAGGTCCTGGAAGGTAAGTAACACAGCCAGGTCCTGGAAGGTAAGTAACACGGCAAGGTCCTGGAAGGTAAGTAACACAACCAGGTCCTGGAAGGTAAGTAACACAGCCAGGTCCTGGAAGGTAAGTAACACGGCAAGGTCCTGGAAGGTAAGCAACACGACAAGCTCCTGGAAGGTCATTAACATGGCAAGGTCCTGGAAGGTAAGTAACACAGCCAGGTTCTGGAAGGTAAGTAACACAGCCAGGTCCTAACTATAAGATAAGGCCAAGGACTAATGAAAGTATTTAGAAAATTGGGCAGACTAGATGGGCCGAATGGCTCTTATCTGCCGTCACATTCTATTCTATTGCTTGTTTACTAATGCTAAATATGTTTTACTTAGTATTAGTAACATTGCCTGAAGGGCCAAAATTACAAAAAGGAAGGGCTTCTCTTTCCTTCAGCCTCTTGGTAGATAGCTATCTACTAAACTCCTTCCTAATATTCTATCCTTAAATATGGCAAAGGTACCAATTAAGGGAGATATTTACTAAACGGCTGCAAAAAGCATCCAAGGATCGCAACATCACAATTTAAGTTGTCCGAATTAAATTTCAAAATGAAACTAATGGCTGAATCATGTCCTAAGATGAATGAACAAACGGACGAAATTTGATACAGCGGAAACATATTTTTTATTTGTCTGAATACATTCGGATGAAATGAAAATTTTGATGGCACCCAAATCTGTTGAATTTTTGACAATACACACAGTGAATTTTTTTTAATTATTATTATTATTGCTATTTATAAAGCGCACACAGATTCCGCAGCGCTGTACAATTAGTTGAGAAACGTACAATATACACAAACAAATACAAGAGGTAAGAGGAGTTTATTCTCGAAATACTGACTTTGAGTGAAATATAAACCAAACTGTAAAACTAAGGATGAAACAAATGATTTAGGAAGACACAAAACCTTTCTTAACATCTCATTTTCTGTTCTCCTTCCTTTTCACAATGCATTACTGCAGCGCTGCGGAGTAGGTTGGAGCTATCTAAATATTTTAACAGATATAAGGGATTGTGCTCTCAAGCGGGCTGCAGGGGTGGCTAACTGTGGTACTGTCTAATAAATGCCCATTGCCCAGTCACACCGTACCACGAATAGCCATGGCTGCCCTGGACTGTCACTTTGTAATCCCTGATCACAAATGGGACACCTGCTAGTAATGTGTTTTATATATTTTTGTGCCATATTTCAATTGATTATATTAGGAATTCTGTCTAAACCCTTCAATAATTCAACGATAAAATAAATACTGATAAAATAACAGGGAACAAAGCAGAGACCGCTGGGATCAGACACCGTAAAATATCAGATATTAATATCAGAAAATTTCCAGGAACAGATCGCCGGTATCCATAGGGTCAGGTATTTTCTACTTCTATGGTAAAATAAATTTGCAGATTAGGCGCTTTCCCCCAAGTTGTTGTGTTATTTATGGAAGCCGGCATGTTGTAAGTAAAGGAATATGTAATGCTATCTTAAGATAAGACCTAGAGCGATCACCTAGAATAGAGACCTTTAAAAAACTGAATACAAGACAATGCATTTAATTTCATTTATTGCAAACAAATTGTGATGAGAAAATACATTTATTGTAGGATAAGGTTTACTAGTGACAATGTGTATGGTGCTCTATACAATGTTACTAAGGTTCTACATACTATGGTGCTTGCAAATTTGAAGAGTGACGCAGACTACGGCGCTCACTCGAGTCCTATTATTAATAAAGGGTTACATATTAGACTTTGTGAAGAGCAAGCGATTCTTCAGAAAATAAAGCAGGTCTGATAAGCAATTTATTTTTCGACTCCCTTAATTTTCCCTTAATTTTCCATTGTTAACAAAAAAACAAAACATTCCAACCTCTTCTTAACAAACCCCAATTCCTAAGGCCATTAATGCTTATGTGATTAAGACTGAGGTGCAAAGATCTTTAACGGCTGGGCATTTTTCCCCCAGTCGTGCCAGCAGACATCGAAGAACGGATAGAGTCGGCCAAAAAATCTATCGTTAAAGGTGCACATCAGTTTCACATTGTCTTTGTCATCTGAATCAAAGAAAGACACCACACCATTAGAGAAACGAAGGTAGATTCCTATCTTCTTTGGCTGGCCATCCACACAGAGAACCCGTGGCTCATTTTGTTCAGCATGAGCCATGTAGACTTTCCCTTCCTTGAAGCCCACAATCCAGAAGCCGTTTGAAGGACTTACACGGAGTTTTCCTTTGCGGTTCGCTGTCTCTGAAATCAGGCCCAGTGACCACCTTGGTTTATCTTCCACCATGACCTCCCAGTAGTGCTCTCCTTCGGTGAAGCTTTCTTTGGACACTAGGCAGTTGGCTTTGTCAAATCGAGTTGGCTCATCAGATACTGCCTGTTTGTGCTCGGAGCACTCTACTGATTTTCCATCTGCAAAAATTACTAGGTTCTGTTGAGCTGATTCTGGGTCGAATGTGAGGTTTTCCAGAACTGGAACATAAGGTAGGTTACAAAAAGAGAGAAAGCTTAATGAGCTGGGGATGGCTAGGCAGACATTGGTCCTGGCCAACTTCAGGAGACAGTGAGCCATATTGCTTGAGCCTACCTATTTGGAGTATATTTTATAGACATCATAAGAGAAATGTGTTTGTTTATTTTTTAATTCATCTCATAAAATTTTCCACACATTATAGAGCTTCGTGTATGTAATTTCTATCTTTTTTAAGTGACAGATAACGCTAGAATTGTGTCTAAGGGCATCTGAGATTTAAAAACTGCTATAGAAATGCACAGGAAAGCAACCACAAATAGTGAAAAAAAATTCTGTTTTCAGTTTTGGGACATTTTTCTCCATACATCTTTATACACAGCCTTGGTTGAGTTTGCTAAAAAGGAATATGAAATGGTGGAAGACTAAAGCTGAACTTAGTATGTAATCCATGTAAACCCACATCAAACCTTTCATTCTAACTCTCACACTCATACCCTCTACCATCCTTACACTCACCCTCTAAAACTAATGCTCACCTGGTAGCAGTGCTCTGAACATTTTCCTCCAGACCTGGAACTTAAACTCGGAAATGGTGGGGAGCTGGATGCCTAATAGGAGGGGATTCAGACAAGATTCTATTAATGAAAGCAATAGTGATGCAAAGCTGTAAACTTTGTGTAAATTGGCGTTTGAATCACATGTGAATGTGAAGGTTAGCAGGCATTCTATCTAGAAGGATCTGCATGGAGTGAGACATGAAATAGAAGGGCCCATGCAGGGATAGCAAGAAAGAAAGATCTTGGTTAGACTATTATAAAAAGCAATAAAGATGTAAAACTGGAACCTTAGTAGAACCTGGAGTATTCAGGAATTTGTGTTCTATACAGGAGCTCTACAGAGGGTGGGACAGGATATGGAAGGGACCGTGCAGAGATAGTGGAATTATACAGTGGAGATGGACCAGAGAGATTAAGAAAACAAAAAGGTATTTTACCTGGATCCAACACCGCCTATTTTCTAGGGAAAATAAAAAAGTGGTGTGTTGGGGGAAATATTATGTCTATATCTGTTTAATATGTGCTTGATTAAGTCTGTGTGTATGGGAGGTCAGGAATTATCTTCAAAGGGAGTTTCTGTTTAGATAGCTGGAAAGATACAACACCTGAAAGGCACCAATCACATTTACATATCTACTGGTCTTCAAAGGAGTCCCTATCTGGGAAAACACACCTTGGGTTAGAGGAAAAGGGATGGCTGGGAAAGTTAACACTTAAATAAAATAACAGGATAGACAACACTTTGGGCCTTGGGAAAGGAAATCACATTTACATATCAATTGAGCTGAGGAATTTGCTATTTACAACATGGGAACCAATTCCTTTAAAAATAGAAGATACTGACATCACATTAGATTAGGTTTGGTAAGACGCATGCTGCACATAACATGCACAGCACATACACAATGTAGCAGATAGTATTAGATAGATGGAATGTGTGAGTGTTGTGAATGTATTGTAACTCTAATACTATAACTCTGTAACATTCTTCTTATGTAATATTTAACTGGGCAGATTCTAAGTAAAGATTTCTCTCTGGTAAGAACTATGGTGTTGGCTGTTTATTTGTAATATCGGGTAGAATACCTTAGTAGTGCTATTCATATATTTATCTGGACAAGGGGATAAAGATATATGTTAGTTCTTGGAAGAGGTTACACAGGGATATTACATTCACTATTAAAAACACAACGCAGACTGGATTTCTCTCAAAAGGATACCAATTGGAAGTATTGGTGGTGAGAGAAGGATTATACAACATGGTGTAAGTTTTTTTGACAAGAAAACATGGCGGTTCCCATTTATTTGTATAGTTACATGAGAGTCGAGACCCTCAGGTTCTAGATAAAACTCACCCTGAGGAACTCTGTTTGTTCTTGTTCTTCCACATCTTTCAGAACTCCTTCCATCTGCCGGAGTTGCTCCAGATAATGTGCCATGGTCTTCCTTTCACCCACCAGAGCAGCAGTCGCCGAATGTTCTGCTTTATCTGCCTCCTGAGCCAGTGACTTTTCCATCACATCGAGGTAGGACCTCATTATGTTCAGCTGTTCTCTCACGCTGATCTTAAACCGGGAGATAGTGTCCTGTGGAGAGAGGATCAGATGGATGTGCATAAAGAATTTGAGACATTTTTAGGGTGAGCTGCTTGGGATATTTTGAAAGGAAATTAGCAGGATTTAGGTATATGAAAGTTTAGATATTACCCATCTGATTTTGGTCACAACAAGGTACCAGAACATGACATGGGGTTAAATCTGGTGGAATAGAATAGAATAGAATGTGGGAACTTCTTAAAATGTGGCTTCACACTGACCTGCACCTCAGCCACCTGTCTGTCCAGCAAGGCCACTGTCTTCTCCGTTTTTAGCTGAGCCTCCTGCAAAAGAACTTGCTGTTGCGACAGGTGCCTCTAGAAGTAAGGAGAGAGTAAAAAATATTAACCAATGTCCGTCACTAATATAGATACATAGAGATAAATAAAAACATTATAGATATAGATACATAGAGATAAAAACAATATAGATAAAGATACATAGAGATAAATAGAAACATTATGGATATAGATACATAGAGAAATGCGCCCCCACCCGAAATCGTAATCAATTTTTTGCTTTTATTGATATCAACAAATTCGTTAGGAGGGCCACCCTGACGAGGTTCTACATAAATTAAACAAACCAAAACCCTAACATTTCCCTTTCTCCCTCCCCCAATACAGCAAATGAAAAATACATCAAGCTGAAGCCCACCACCACAAACTATAAATCAGGTCATTTAGACACATTTGAAAAACTGGTAACTAAAGATCTAAAAAGAATCGCCACTACCAAATCTGACCAATTCTATTTTACAAAGAAAGAAAAAGAGACAATTAAAAATCTAAAAAATGATGAGGATATTATAATGAAACCTGCAGATAAAGGGGGAAGGTTAGACATTCTCCCAACAGAAATGTACAGGAAGGAAGCGTTCTCACGACTCAGTGATACGATGGTATACAAACAACCTTTCAAAAAAAACCCACACCAGACATTAAAGATATTCTAACAATTTTTTTTTTAAACAAAGGCCTTTTGAGTAACAAATCATTAATAAGAAATAGCGCACTTATATAAATACCAACCACCCCACTATACCGGCGTAACCCCCTTTCCTGCCCGGCTCCTGTAAGCAAGCCGTAGCTAGCAGCAATTACACCTTCTTCTGTCGCTGACAGGGATCCTGAGCCTCCGCTATAGTTGGGAGATCGGGACATCTTGTTCTGACGCAGTGCCTCCACTCAGTGCAACTTCTATTTATGGGGAACCCACCCCACTGAGTAGATGAGTACCCTCCACTTAATAATCCCTCCGAGACAGGAAATAACTACAGACATGGAAATACACACTGTATTGTGGTTAAAGGGATACACATATAACAGCAGAAATAACAATGCAGTTGCTGGCTAATGCTGAGTGATGATAAAGTCCCTGATGTAGGAATGATACAGTCACAGGAGTCTTTAGCAGCAGGAATGCAGACAACAATCCTCTCTTAGTAACATCAATAACTACATCGGAACAGTTAAACTCCTAGGTACCTGCAGGTAAATTATGTGCACAACGTTGGGGCCATTAGGTGTAGGTAGCGCTACCCAGGTACAGTAATAAGGGAGAATCCTGAAGCAATCTCTGGAGACAGGACCTCTGAGTGACTTCTGTAACTGCAGATATTTCCAGAGAGATCCAGCAGAATGTAGGACCGCGGCAGAACAGCGATGGCAATCCTTTCTCTTCCTTCTGCAGACAGGATGCAAGACCTCATTCACACTACTCCGGAAAGTTTCAGAATCTGCAGAAAGCTGAACATTAAATAACAGTCTTCTATTTCTCCTCATTCACACTACTCTGGAAAGTTTCAGAATCTACAGGAAGCTGGACATTAAATAACAGTCTTCTATTTCTCCTCATTCACACTACTGCAAAAAGGTCCAGAATCTGCAGGGAGCTGAACATTAAAGGACCACTATAGGCACCCAGACCACTTCAGCTCAATGCCAGGTCCATCTAGTGTTAACCCTGCAGCTGTAAACATAGCAGTTTCAGAGAAAATCACACTGAGAAGACGCTGGACGTCCATAGGAAAGCATTGCCGCGCATGCGCATTCGGCGCGGACATCGGCAAGAGGAGGAGAGTTCCCCAGTGCCGATGGAGCCCGGCGCTGGAGAAAGGTAAGTGTTTTAACCCCTTCTGGGGGTGGGGGAGACCTAAAGACCCTATAGCGAGTTTGTTTTCCTGGCACTATGGTGGTCCTTTAAATAACAGTCTTCTAATTCTCCTCATTCACACTACTGCAGGAAGTTCCAGAATCTGCAGGGAGCTGAACATTAAATAACAGTCTTCTAATTCTCCTAGCAGAGCAGTAGACAGTCTCCAGCTTCTTGTAGTTGCAGTGCATTAGCCTCCCCCTGTTATTATTTCACTGTCCCAGCAGTAATAGAATAATTTAAACAGGTAGGGAGCACAATTTCTTTAAGCAGACTCAGTGAACATGGCTTCTCCACTGTCCTCTTCTTCCTGCCACCCCAGTCCTTCCTCTTTACATGACAGGGGGAAGAGCAAAGTTCAATATCTCCTAACTTAATGCAAAACAGTAAAATATAGCAGCCTGTTACACCTGTAATTTACTTTTTACCAAAGATCCATAAAAATGAAACTAACCATCCTGGCCGCCGTATAGTAGGGATGTGCATTGGGGAAAATATTTGTTTCGGCATTCTGAAATTCGTGACTTTGGCAATTCGGAACTTCAGATGTTCTCTTGCAGCCGCTTAGTAGATAACTCCCTAATTCCCACAGTATTAGGGAGTTATCTACCAAAAGGCTGAAAGCCCTAAATTGGTCTTTCAGACAAATTTACTAATACTAAGTAAAGATTAGTATTAGTAAATTATGCCCCTACTCACTATATCGCGAGTAGGGGCATGTCTAGTAAACAAAAAAACACTGCGTCACCCCTCCCTGAGCGGCGGGTGGGGGCCCAAAATCAGAAAATTGGGGGCGGGGGAACCTATTGTCCTCCTCCCTGGCTCCCACCCCTGAGCAGCGGGTAGGGGCCCTAAAGTAAAATAAGGGGGGGGACCTATTGTCCTCCCCCCGGCCCCCACCCCTGAGCGGTGGATGGGGGCCCTAAATTACTTCGGGGGGGTACCTATTGTCCTTCCCCCTGGCCCCCACCCCCGAGCGGTGGGTGGGGGCACTAAAGAAGAATAAGGGGACTACAACCTATTGTCCTCTGCTCCAGCCCCCACCCCTGAGCAGGGGGTGGGGGCACTAAAGTAAAATAATGGGGGGGGCTTTGGAAGTTCTTTGCAATTTTCCCACGCTGTGTAATTTCACTCATAAATCTCTGATTGGTTACTTTCAATCAACCAATCAGAGAGTTGTTATGAGTCAGATTACACAGCATGGGAAAATTCCAAAGAACTTTCCCACGCTGTGTAAAATGACACAGAGCACTCTGATTGGCTGGATTTCAAGCTAACCAATCAGAGTGCTGTGACAGGTAAATGTAGAGACTTACCTGTCAGTCTCTTCATTTACCTGTCAGAGCACTCTGATTGGATGGCTTAAACCCACCAATCAGAGTGCTCTGAGTCTAATTGCAGGGCGTGGCAAGACTTTATAAGCCTTCCCCCGCCCTACAGAACTCAGTCTGTGCGGAGCCCTCCATGGGTAAAGATGGATTATTTTTTTTGTGCTCGTTTTTTTACAGTTTATTTATTTTCAAAGTGCGATGGTTATTATGGATTTTTATTTGGCCTTTTTTGGGGGCTGAAAAAAGAAGATTTTAGAAAAAAGAAGACATCAATGGTAAGTTTTAGTTATTTTTTTACAGGTACCTAGTTATTGGTCCCCCCTCACTATTTTGTAGGGTGAGGGGGCTAGGTAGGGGTTCATTCATTTTTTTGGGAGGGGGGTCACTAGGGGCTTGGGGACCCCTAGTCACCTGGGGGGGTTACATTTTTATTTAGGGCCCCCACCTGCTGCTCAGAGGTGGGGGTGGTGGGGAGGACAATAGTTCTCCCCTTTATTGATATTTAGGGCCCCCACCCACTGCTCAGGCGTGGGGGCAAGGGGGGAGGACAATAGGTCTTCTCCTTATTCTAATTTAGGGCCTCCACCCACCACTCAGGGTTGGGGCCAGGGGGGACGACAATAGGTCCCCCTCTTATTAGTATTCAGGGCCCCCACCCACCGCTCAGGTCCCCCCTTCAGGTTAGAAGCTCCAACTCGCGCGGCATAGGTAGGGGCTCGGGAGAGGGGATACGTGTTTTTTTTTGTTTTGTTTTTTACAGTAAACAGCCACAGGCTGCTCGTTGTTTACTAGACATGCCCCTACTCGCGGTATAGCGAGTACGGGCAGAATTTACTAATACCAAGTAATCTTTACTTAGTATTAGTAAATTTGGCTGAAAGACCAATTTAGGTCTTTCAGCCTTTTAGTAGATAACTTCCTAATACCATGGGAATTAGGGAGTTATCTACTTACTCTTTCCCATCCATTGATTGGCTAAGTAACTTACATTTTATATGAATGTGTTACTTGATTGTTGTAAGTGTTGCAAATGCTTACAACTGAATCCTGGCTATGATTGTATACTTTATTTTAAACTGGTATACATTGTAAAATTTTTCATTCTTCCACTGGGTATAAAAGTACTTCGGCAATTCTGTGCTTCGGATCTTCGACACTTTGGCACTTCGGAACTTCGGCAATTTCGGAACTTCGGCAATTTGGAACTTCGGTAATTCAGCTATTCGGACATTCAGAAGTATCCGAATGTCCGAATTGCCCGAAATTCGTCCGAATTTACATTTGGAACAAAACGAATTGCACATGTCTACCGTATAGTATCAGGTATCAACTCCATTTTATCCAACTTATCTGAGTATATAGATACCCACCTTCAACCCCATATCTCAAAGATAAAATCATACCTAAAAGATATTATGAGCTTTTTACAAATTTTAAATGATTTTATTTGGAAACCTAATTACATTTTAGCCACCAGTGATGTCCAATCCCTCTATACCAGCGTTTCCTAATTAGGGTTCCGCCAATATTTTTCAAAATAAAATGGCCGCGGGCGGCGAGGGAGCAGTGAGCAGTGATCTCCCTGCTCAGCTCCCTCGCGCACACAGCAGTGATGCTGGAGTCGGAATATGACGTCAATCCGGCTCTGGCATTACTAAGAGGCGCGCGAGGGAGCTGAGCAGGGAGATCACTGCTCCCTTGCCGCCCGCACGCCAGCCGCTCAGCAGTCCCACTGGACTGAAAGGAGGGGGTGTCCACGATGTTGATACACTATGTCAAAGGGTTCCATGGGAAAAAGGAATTGGGAACCCCAGCTCTATACAATTATTCCTCATAACCTTGAATGTGCCGCCATCAAGAAAATCCTAGAAAAAGATGGCAACACCCCTCCAAAACTTACTGAATTCATTCTAGAGGGTTTGGACACCATTTTAAAAAATAATTATTTTTGGTTTTATGATTCTTTTTATGTACAACAACAAGGCACACGCCATGGGTACGAGGGTAGCGCCAAGCTATGCTAACCTTTTTATGGCTGACTGGGAGGATTCCTTCATTTGGTCCAACACAGAATGGAAATCAAATATTATTTTATACTGTAGATATATCGATTACCTTTTTTTTTTATTTGGGATGGCACCACCAATGACCTTAATAATGTTTATAATTTTTAAACGACAACAAAAGAGGTATTAAAATCAATACTGAAATCAGTAGTACTAGAGTACAATTTTTAGATTTAGATATCTATTTAGAAATCAACAAACTCTATACTAAAATATTTTTTTAAAGTACATACGAACACTTTCATAGATTTTACCAGCTGCCATCACCTACCATGGCTTAAGAGTGTGCCTAAAAGTCAACTCATTAGACTAACGAAATTGCACTGGTGAAAATATATGTTCAGCCAACAAGCTGAAGTTCTAAAAGAAAACCTTTGAGAAAAATAATATAACGAACAAGATATCAACACTCTTATTACAGAAACCAAACAAATGGATAGAAACCAACTATTACAATATCATAACCACAATAAGAAGGATAGCAACGCCCTACCGATCGTTTTAGATTTTAATAATGAATTTAAACATGAAAAAAAATCATCCAAAAACATTGGAATATTTTAAAAGATTTTAAAGAGATTTTAAAAAAATATTCTTCCAGACAAACCTCAGATTGTCTTTAGGGGAGCACCAAAACTCAAAATGCACCTCACAAAAAATTACACTAAAAAAAGTCAACTCTAACAAATACTCTTTTAACCAACAAAACGGTTTCTACAAGTGCAAATGGTATCAGGCATGCCGAAGCACTAACAACGACAACACAAAAATATACACCTTCAAATCAAGGAATTCACCACAGGAATTTAATGTAAAAAGTTTCATTACATGCCATTCCAAATAATGTTATTTATTTACTAGAATGCGCATGCAAACTACAGTATGTAGGCATGACCACCAGATGCCTAAAAACCCGTGTAGAAACATTACAAAAGGTTTCACCAATAATTCAGTTTGAAAACATTTTTAAATGCATAATAAAGACCCCAAATATCTAAAATTCCGTGCCATAGAAAAAATATTCCCCTCCCCACCCCCGTCCTTGGTGAGGAGGAAATCTCCGCAAACTCTTAGTTAAAAAAGAAATGGCACGGGTCTTCAAACTAGACACGTTAAATGTAGATTTTAATTTTTTTTATCTTTTATAGAAAATGTTTTATTAAGTCGACATCTATTGTTTTAACTTATTTATATAATGTGTTTGCTGCTATATCTCCCTATTTTATTATTTTAATCATTTTATATGCAGAGAGCACTATTTCATGTTTTTTTTATGCTCTGGTAACTTCCGACTACCATCGTGGTACAGTGCACAAAGACACCTTTACTCTCGCTGAGAACACCTTTTGAATTGCGAACAACAAAGACATCATAAGACGGGGATTATACCGTCCAGGTGTTTCAATCTGGAGCCACATACCGGACATTTCTACTTAACATACTACACCATATCCTGCTTTCTCTCCTTATCTCTATGTTGGCTGAATCTCCATCTGAATTTGTGGTACCTTGGAAGGTGCTGCTCCCTACATTTCCTACTCCACTCAGTACATTTCCAAAAGCCATAGATATACAGCTATTCAAACAGCCGTTCCGGAGGGGAGACGTCGAGGGAAGCAGTGAAGACTCCGTCTATGGGTGATATCTACGGGGAGCTCACTCGGCTGTTGTATGGTCAGACTGTTGGAAGTTTCCTTCTTATTTTGTTCGCTATTTATTGAGGTGACCCCTACTAATCTCTATCTGACCTGTCCCCCGATTAAAGGAACACTGACTTTTTTTATCATTCTAATATAGACTTTATAATATTTGCTCCCTCGCTCTCCCCCCCAGCATGTAAAGGGTCCACCTTCTCTGACGTCATCGCACAGAGGAGCCTAATACAAATGCGAACACTGCACACGTAGTAGGCCCTCCTCATAGGAAAGCATTGCTTTAATGCAGAGCGTGTGGACATCCAGCATGAGTTAGGCAACAAATATCGGTTAGGATCCAGGAAGTGCCTCTAGTGGCTGTCTGATTGACTCTTGGGGTACAAAATGTGTTCTAGTGTGGTACTGGGCTCTCCTAGCTTGCTGTGCCATCTTGTGTTACATCTGGAATACATGCTACTATTTTTCCCATCCTATGGGTGGAAGTCCCACCAAGTATTACAAATGTGTGAGTGAATGCATTAATATAGAGCTTTCATTGCGTTTGAGTATTCAAAAAAGTATTTCAGTCAATCACATTAAACATTAGCAAAGAGGGAAGGCACCCACAGATCAATTTCCTTACTGATTAGTTTTAGATTTTCTTAAAATTCTTCTGAAAGCTTCGCCCTCACATTGCAAATCATTAAGCTGAATACCCGAATGAAAGGATTTTTTAGCTAATTCTAAAGGCACCAAAGAAGGCCCAAACAATTGCTGTGGTAAAAAGTTGAGTTTTAAAAGAATCTTTGCAAACAAGAACCAAGTTTTTGACCACATCACCCAATAATTGAAAAGAAATAGGACGCCTGCTGTCATGAATAGCCAGCTCTTTGGCCCAGGCTCCTTTCAATTATTGCAGAATAATAAACAACTTTAAAACACTTTTTTTTACCTACTGGTAGTACTATCAGGAAGAAAGAACTATCCAGCAGTGACCTGTTTGAAGAAAACCTAGACAACCCAATTAATTTTACTGAGAATAAACTGTATTGCATCCTGCAAATTAGGTTCGGTGGCATCCCTATTAAGATTCACCATAAAATTGTACCACTCATTCCAAGCTTTTAGATATGCCTTCCATGAAATTGATTACAAAGATAAACCCAATAAATGTCTTATCTGGGCGAAGTTAGCTCCCAAATGTGTTCGAGCAACTTCATTCTAAACTCGTCCGCTAACGGTGCAAAGGACCATCAGCAGTAATATTAGTTTTACTACTTATGTACCGAGCATTAATCCAAATGCAGCATGCAAATAAGGACTAATCTCCTTAGTAAGTTAATTACCAGAGAAGTTTCTATTGCAAACAATTCCTAAATTGTCACAGAGAAAAAATATTCTTCCGCTAGCTAATCCAGCTCCCTATAACTCAAGTGACACAATTATCGGGAATAATTATAAAAGGGTTATCATTCTCGTCCATCCCTTCTCAACCCACGTCGGAGGCCACCCTGCAGCTACCCATGAACCTTGGAAATAAATACCGAAACCCTTTGAGTCAGCTGCATCGGCAAAAACATCCAATTCCTGATTCAATATGACCTCCCCTAGCTTAGTCTGCTGATTAACCCAGGGAGGCAGCCACCCGATAGATTGTCAGCTCCTTCTGTCGAAACTATACCAGAAGTAATGGCTTGTTCACCGGCTCCTGTCACCGGCACTTGCCTAGCTACTAAAAGTTAACAGGGTTTTTTCTTCCTTTTTCCTGGCTCTCTTGATTGCTTGCTCCCTCTGGTGAATAACTTCTTCTTGGTCTGCAGACTCTCCTTTTCTCCCCCAGAGTTATGCCCATGTCATTAAGAGTGACCGACACATGTGGCTCCTCCTCGGAGTCGTCGTCCTCCTCTTCAGGCTCGGTATGAGTTACAGCCAGCCATTCCTAGTGTGTGATTCTTCCCGATAGGAAGGGCAGTTATTAGGCACTGCATTAACCATTCACCACCCCATTGCCAAATGCCGTCCTCTTTACTTCATCCATACTCTGGTCAGTGTGAGCGAGAATACCAGCGGTAAGAGAGCAATGGAGAAATAACAACAGTAACAGTGATGTAATGGGGGAACAAGGGACCAGCTGCAACACGAAATCGCAGGCCCCAAAATTGCTATTGGTTCCGCTGGCGCCAAGCCGTTACCTCAGAACTATTTATATTGTAGGTTTATTCCGCCAAAAACGTCCTCGCGGACAAGTTTTCCAATTAGAGCGCGGAATACTAAGAATGACTGGTGACCACGAGGGCATTGCTCCTGGAGCCAAAACCGATGCCCTCGCGATGCTGAGCGGGCGGGTGCAGCGCACTGCGCTATTAAGCCATCCAACCCGCAGTATGGACACATAGTCCTGTATAGCTATAGTCAGCAGATACTGTAATGCACTGGCTATAGGGAGCTCAAAAAAAAGTTACATGAAAGGTTTCTTGTTGACTCTTTGATTGGCAGCCAACATATGGCTTTGTCCTATCTTAAATCTTTAACCATTTCATTGCTGAGTTAACCTTTTAAAGTGTCACGAGTCTGCAATATATGCTGCCATACAGCTAGAATGTATGTGTATATATTAAATAACAACCATCCATACTCCACGACACCTACAGGAGGAGGTTTAACATCTTCTGTTGATAGTACACTGCCCCCTACCTCATGTCCTCAAGCACTCAGTACTTGCAGGAAACTGAAACTAATAACTCAAGTGAATTTAAAACGTTACTATATGAAGGGCGTGGACACAATATTGGTTAGTAGAGCTGTGTTAGGTGACGAGCTGAGAGAGTGGTCTACTGGCCCTGATTGTGTGGGCTGGTTGAGATGGCTAGAACCACTCGTGGTCTTATTCTGTCAGCTCTGGAGGATCTCCTGGAAGTTGACTTCAGGAGGTTTAAGAACCATTTGAACGACGCAACAATTATAACGGGCTTTGGACCCATTCCACGGGGACGGCTGGAGAATGCGGACCGGATGGACACCGCCAACATTGTCTACAATCATTTCTCTGAAAGAAACAGTCTCATTGCCACCATCATAACGCTGGAAGCCATAGACCAGAGGAGTCTAGCAGACAGACTTAGGTAAGGAAATATGTGTAATACAGAGTGTGTGTAATACAGAGGGTGTGTAATACAGAGTGTGAGTGTAATACAGAGGGTGTGTAATACAGAGTGTGAGTGTGTGTAATACAGAGGGTGTGTAATACAGAGTGTGAGTGTGTGTAATACAGAGTGTGAGTGTAATACAGAGTGTGTGTAATACAGAGTGTGAGTGTGTACAAGCTTTGTTAGAGGGGTACAGTATATATATATATATATATATACATATATATATATATACAGGGCTGCCATCAGAAATTGTGGGGCCCATAACACAGCTCAAGGTCTGGGCCCCCAGGTGCCTGCCTCCAAGTCCCGCCCACAGGAATACACATACACAGACACAAAAGGACACAGACACACACACAGAAAGATACACACAAATACTGAAACAGACATACACACATATAGACACATACACAGATACACACACACACACATACTGACATACAGACACACACACACACTGACGTACATACATACTCACATACTGACACACACATACATACATACAGACATACATACATACTGACAAACAGACATACATACAAACTGACATACAGACATACATACATACACACACATAAATAAATACATACTGACATACATACAAAATGGCATACATACACATACATACTGATATACATACATACAGACATACACACACAGAGAGATAGATATATACATACAAAGATACATACAGACATACTGACATACACACACACAGACATACATGCATACTGACATACATACTGATAGATATATACATACATACACACATACATACTGACATACACACAAACATACATACAGACAGACATATATACATACTGACATACAGATAGACATATACACACAGACATACTGACATACACACATACATACAGACATACATACATACACATAAATACATACTGACATACAGACATACAAACAGACATACATACATACACATAAATACATACTGACATACAGACATACAAACAGACATACACACTGACATACAGACATACAAACAGACATACATACATACATACACATAAATACATACTGACATACATACATACATAATGGCATATACACATACATACTGACATACATGCATACTGACATACACGCAGACATACATACTTGCAGACACATACACAAACATACATACTGACAGACATACATACAGACATACACACACACATACAGATAGACACATACACACAGACATACATGCATACTGACATACACACACACAGACATACATGCATACTGACACACACACATACATACATACTGACAAACAGACATACATACATACTGACAAACATACATACATGCATACTGACATACACACACACATACAGATAGACACATACACACAGACATACATGCATACTGACATACACACACACACACACAGACATACATGCATACTGACATACACACATACATACATACTGACAAACAGACATACATTCATACTGACATACACACACACAGACATACATACTTGTAGGCACATACACAGACATACATCCTGACAGACATACATACAGACATATATACATACCGACATATACACACACATACAGATAGACACATACACACAGACATACTGACATATACACACACACAGACATACATGCATACATACTGACACACACACACAGACATATATACACACACACCTCATTTATCAGCCACCCTCCTCTTACCTTTAAGTTGCAGGAGGGTGGCTGGGGATGATGGGAGCAGATGCCTCTGGTGTCCTCTCTTGTCCTCCGCTCTCCCCCCACGTGGAGTAAGCTAGGAGGAAGTGACCGGGAGTCACTTCCTCCCAGCAGCACTTGCGGTGCAGCCGCAATTTTTTTTAAAAGGGTCCGGTCGCGCAATTACACGACCGCAGCACTGACCGGGCCCCTGAAGATATTGGGCCCATCGGGTGGCCCTAAATGCTTGGGCCACCTGATGGGCCCCGCTGCAGATGCACCTGCGGCAGTTTCGCAGCGCCACGTGGGGCCCGGTTGGCCCTGTATATATATGATGGTGGCCCTGTATATATATATATATATATATATATATATATAGCTGTGTTAGTGGGGTACAATGGAATACATATATAAAGCTGTGTTAGTAGGGTACATATATTAAGCTGTGGGGTACAGTGGGATACATATATAATTCTGTGTTAGAGGTGTACAGTGGGGTACATACATAAAGCTGTGTTAGAGGTGTGCAGTGGGGTACATACATAAAGCCGTGTTAGAGCTGTGCAGTGGGGTACATACATAAACCTGTGTTAGAGGTGTGCAGTGGGGTACATACATAAAGCTGTGTTAGAGGTGTGCAGTGGGGTACATACATAAAGCTGTGTTAGAGGTGTGCAGTGGGGTACATACATAAAGCTGTGTTAGAGGTGTGCAGTGGGGTACATACATAAAGCTGTGTTAGAGGTGTGCAGTGGGTTACATACATAAAGCTGTGTTAGAGGTGTGCAGTGGGGTACATACATAAAGCTGTGTTAGAGGTGTGCAGTGGGGTACATACATAAAGCTGTGTTAGAGGTGTGCAGTGGGATACATACATAAAGCTGTGTTTGAGGTGCACAGTGGGGTACATACATAAGGCTGTGTTAGAGGTGCACAGTGGGGTACATACATAAGGCTGTATTAGAGGGATTCATTTAAGGGCATATTGTATCTAACACAGTTAAATTATTAGATTATAATATATATACACCCACACGCACACACAGCTGTGTAGTTTGAGCGCGTATATTGGGGTGTAATACCAGGTGAGATAAAAGAGAGCGGCTACACACACAACCTGCCCACAGGCACAACACATACATCGCCACACTACAAGCAGTCTCCATACACTTGCAAAACGAGGGACCCTGCCATACCACATTTACTAGGGTGGTGTGGCAGGGTCAGAGAGGCTTTTTATGTTAGTAATAGATTGGAGCGCTCTCTATTCCCAGCATGATGGGGTTAATTGCTGGGAGTCACCCCTTGAATGTTATCAACCAGGTGAATGTAATTAACCAGCACTAGGGTTTTAAAAGGTTAGCCTCTGAAGACATGGGGGATTCTAACAGCTGGGAGAGAGGAGGCAGTTAAGCCTGAGACTCTGAGAAAAAGGTACTGTGTGAAACCTGCTTAAAGTGCTGGATTTTATGTTGTTTAACCCCTTAAGGACGGAGCCAAATGTACACATTGTGAACAAAACAAAATGTAAACAAAACCTGGCATTTGTGCTACATGTCTGTCCAACCGTAATACACCTCTTTCATAGTAAATGCACCCACCCTTATTATATATCATTTTATTCAGGGGAAACAGGGCTTTCATTTAATATCAAATATTTAGCTATGAAACATAATTTAATATGAAAAAAATGGGAGAAAATACGTTTTTTTTTGGATTTTTTTAGTTCTACATGACATTTTAACGGTCAATGTCATAATACTGTTTGCTTTTACTGCAATAAAATACACATATTTATATTCAGTAAAGTCTCACGTGTAAGACAGTACCCCCTATGTACAGGTTTTATGGCGTTTTGGGAAGTTACAGGGTCAAATATAGCACGTTACATTTGAAATTGAAATTCGCCAGATTGGTTACGTTGCCTTTGAGACTGTATAGTAGCCCAGGAATGAAATTTACACCCATAATGGCATACCATTTGCAATAGTAGACAACCCAAGGTATTGCAAATGGGGTATGTCCAGTCTTTTTTAGTAGCCATTTGGTCACAAACACTGGCCAAAGTTAGCGTTAGTATTTGTTTGTGTGTGAAAAATGCAAAAAATGCCAATTTTGGCCAGTGTTTGTGACTAAGTGGCTACTAAAAAAGACTGGACATACCCTGTTTGCAATACCTTGGGTTGTCTACTATTGCAAATGGTATGCCATCATAGGGGTAATTTTCATTCTTGGGCTACCATAGGGTCTCAAAGGCAACGTAACCAATCTGGCGAATTTTAATGTGAAAAAACTGAAATGCAAGCCTTATATTTGACGCTGTAACTTTTGAAAACACCATAAAACCTGTACATGAGGGGTACTGTTGTACTCGGGAGACTTCGCTGAACACAAATATTTGTGTTTCAAAACAGTAAAAAGTATCACAGCAATAATATTGTCCGTGTAATACTGTTTGTGCGTGAAAAATGCAAAAAACTTCACTTTTACTGGCGATATCATCGTTGTAATACATTTTACTGTTTTGAAACACTAATATTTGTGTTCAGCGAAGTCTCCCGAGTAGAACAGTACCCCCCATGTACAGGTTTTATGGTGTCTCGGAAAGTTATAGGGTTAAATATAGTGCTAGCAAATTAAATTCCCTTTACTTTCGGCATGGGTTGTCAGGCAGGTCCTGCTAATTGTAATTAATTAAGATACCTAATTATGTAAAAATATTACATAAATATATATGTAGAATTAATATATGTGTATATATATACGTATGTGTGTATATATATGTATATATCTATATAATTTTTTTAAAATATTTTTATTTATATATAGTGGTATATATATAGTGATATATACGTATATATTTAGGTATATAGATATATATATTATTTCGTTCTACGTGTATTTTGATATATATATATATATATATATATATATATATATATATATATATATATACACCTCTCACAAAAACAAAGTTAGAACCTAAAATAACACACACAATTCATATATTTTAATTATTTATTTTAATTATTTTTACCTATTTTTAACGATTTCTACATTTTTATTTTTTTATATTATATACAAATATATATATAACAATACTATATATATATTTCTAATCAGTATCAGTCTACGGTAATTTGATATCTATATATATATATATATATATATATATATATATATATATATATATATATATATATATATATAATTATATATATATTAATAGTAAAATACACCTAGACGGTGTACGTGTGTGTATGTATATGTGTATATATATACTTAGATCATATATATATAACATATATATGATCTAAGTATATATAATTATTTTTTTTTACACCATTAACTTATTTTTATTTTATTTTCAGCCAGCAGGGGGACCACCTGTCATTACAGGCAGCCCCCCTGCCGGCAATACAGAAGCCAGCTATCCCCGGCCATGTGATTGTGGGGTCCTCGCTAGGACCCCACTCTCACATGGCCGGGGGGCTTCGACGAGGACGGACGTGCCGCGGGGGGCTCCCTGGGAGTCCCCCCAACCGCGATCGCCGGAGTGGGACCGCCGGCGACCGGGTAAGTTAACAAAAACCGGAGGGCGTACAATTACGCCCGGCGGCGTTTAGAGCCGCCTATTAGAGGGCGTAATTGTACGTCCTCCGGTTTTAAGGGGTTAAAACTGGGAATGAGATTAGCTGGCCAGTTGAATCGTTAGTAACACTGTTGTTTAGTAAGTCCAAACTTGTATATATTGTGGAAAGTGACAATAACCTGCAGTACTATTTTATCCCGACTGTTGCATTTGAAGTTTATTGTGAAGAGCCTGGCCATCCTGCCACAGTGGTTATAAGATCAGGATATGCTGTTACACATGGCTCACTGTAAAATGTTATATTAATTATATTTTATTTGGAATTTACAGGAACGAAATTCCTGCAAACTATCAGGCAGACCTCAGATGAATGAGCCAGCGCTAGCTCTGGACCCTCGGTGCTATCTACGTGGGATCATTGAGGGACATCTGCCTCAGCTCAGCTCCTGTGGGGAGCATCCCTTTCCGACCAAACCCTGTGACCACTGTACTGTAACTGTCATATATTTTACATCATTCCCAGGAGTGTTTGATTCCATATTTCTATATTAAAGCTGATGTTTTACTCAGTGTTATTAAAATGTCTGTTTATGTTGTCCATGGCCAGCCGTAATCAGTCTAATGGCATTAGGGAAGTTAAAAGCAGAGTCAAGTTCCACTTGGAACAACATTTTGTCACTCCCCTGGGATGAATTCCTTGTCCAGTGTCTAATCCCTGAATTGTGTCGAACTGCATGATAGATCTGTGTGAGAGTGTGGATGTGAGCGTGGAGAAACACTGGGGGTCATTTACTGGTGGTATGGAGAGATACAATGGGGGTCAATAACTGGGGTTATGGGGAGATACGTTGGCGGTATATGGAGATACATTGGGGGTCATCCACTGGGGTATGGGGAGATACATTGGGGGTATGGAGAGATACAATGAGGGTCATCCACTGGGGGTATGGGGAGATACATTGGGGGTATGGAGAGGTACAATGAGGATCATCCACTGGCGGTATAGGGAGATAAATTGGGTGTCATCCACTGGGGGTATGGGGAGATACATTGGGGGTATGGAGAGTTACAATGAGGATCATCCACTCGCGGTATAGGGAGATAAATTGGGTGTCATCCACTGGGGGTATGGGGAGATACATTGGGGGTTTGGGGAAATACATTGGGGGTCATCCACTGGGGGTATGGGGAGATACATTGGGGGTTTGGGGAAATACATTGGCGGTATAGGGAGATACATTGGGGGTCATCCACTGGGGGCATGGGGAGATACATTGGGGGTCATCCACTGGGGATATGGGGAGATACATTGGGGGTTTGGGGAAATATATTGCGGTATAGGGAGATACATTGGGGGTCATCCACTGGGGGCATGGGGAGATACATTGGGGGTCATCCACTGGGGGTATGGGGAGATACATTGGAGGTCATAACAGAGGATTTGAGGAGATAAACTGGGGGACATTAAAAAAAAAAAAGGTTTTTAATTCCACTGATTTTCTTTTTTTGCATCAATAAAATTAATAACCCATCTCTGGCAGTCAGCTTCTGTCCTGGCTTAGCAAGCGTTAAAGAATCTCATAAAGCCGTTCGAGTTTTAGAAATAAGATAAGGAAATGGTTTAGAGATGAAATGAATGTAATGGTTTCTGGTAATTAAGTTTATAAATAGTAATAAGATAACGTATATTCACAGAGACATGTAGGGAGTATTTTAGTATCACATATATTCTTTTAACAAATGGGACAGAATGGGCATCGACCAGTTTTTTGTCCTTTTTCACTGTTTGATTTATTTATGTATTTTCTTAATTAAAAACATAGTTAATAACTGGAGACTTGGCATCTGTGCTGTGGTTATGGTGTCTGTAGGTCCCCTGTCTATTGTATATTGATATCCTAGGTGCTTTTATATGATATAAAATACTCTCTATTATACCTTGATTGGGAAAATTTCTCTAACTCGGATAAAGTCACAACTAAATATTTGTGAATAGTCTTCTGAGATTAAAGAGTTGGAACCTACTCTGTCACAGTCATCACCTCCAGCATGTCACCTCTAGCCCCGGCTCTTGGTCCTTGCCGCTGGGGTTACTTGGCGGTCCTTGGAGGCTGATGCCCCTTTAATGGGCTCTTTAGGTAGCAAGGTGAGATCACATTGAATACCTGGCTGCGCAGTGTGCGTTGGCTTTATTGAGATCTTGGAACGCACCAGCAGCTGTTCATGGGTTCAAAATCGCTGCCTGGAAATTATAGACCTGTGAGCTTAACTTCTGTGACTGGGAAAGTATTTGAAAGGCTATTAAGGGATAATATTCAGGAATTCATTGGGAAGAACTTTGTTATCAGCAATAATCAGCATGGTTTTATGAAACATAGGTCATGTCACACTAACCTAATTGCATTCTACGAAGAAGTAAGTAGAAGTATAGATCAGGATGTTGCAGTGGATGTGATCTACTTGGATTTTGCCAAGGCATTTGATACGGTTCCTCACAATAGGTTAGTCTTCAAACTAAAAGAAATTGGTCTAGATGAATATTCTTGTTCTTGAGTAGAACATTGGCTTAAGGATAGAGTACAACGAGTTGTCATTAATGGTAAATGTTCAAGCTGGACAGAGGTGGTAAGTGGTGTCCCCCAGGGGTCTGTTCTGGGACCGCTTCTATTTAACATGTTTATAAATAATCTTTAAATAATCAATGAAAGTCATGTTTCAATGTTTGCAGATGACACAAAACTCTGTAAAGTAATAAAATGTGGGCAAGATATTACTTTGCTGCAGAGAGATTTAGAAAGATTGGGGGACTGGGAACTAAAATGGCAGATGGAATCTAATGTAGAGAAATGCAAAGTTATGCATTTGGATTAAATAAGGTACAAGCCACTTATACCCAAAACTGTAGTGAATTATAGATAACAACACACAAGAAGATTTGGGAATTGTTATAGACAACAATGTGCAATGTCAATCAGCAGCTACTAAGGCCAGTAAGATTGTGTTATGTATAAAAAGGGGCATATAATTTTGCCTCTTTATAAATTGTTGGTAAGACCACACCTTGAATATGCTGTGCAATTTTAAGCACCTGTTCTAAAGAAGGATACTACAAAATTAATAAAAAAATATGATTAGGGGGCGGGGCCGGACCGCCATGCTGAGCGGACGCACAGAGGAATAGCTCCTGAACAGCTACTTAATTTTAGCCCCTAAAAACCGGCACAATCCTTACCTGACAAATGGCAGCTGTGCCCCAGTGCTAGAAGCAGCCTGGTCCCGAGGAGAGGCTTGCCGTGAGGTTTTAGTCCCTCGGCGGGGCGATCCCCGTCACGCATGATGGAGACCGCTCGGGTGGTGAGCAGGGTGGACGGCTGCCGCCCAGCTATCCTGCTCACCAGCAGTACGGCAGAACCGAGGGGCTAGGCGGGTCAGGCCCTGTCCCCCCCCCTCTGGGCCAGCGGGGGTGATCCCGGCCCCCACCCTGTGACCCATCGGAGTACCACAAAATCGGCAAGAGCTCGCTCTCAAAATGGCGGGGACCGCATGGCATGCAACTCTGGAGCAAGAACAGCTGGACGCAACCTCCTATCCTGATACTACACAGGTGGATAGCCAACTCAGCATGAGCGGGAACCGGCGATTAAGTGCCAAAGCTCCGCAAGGCAGCCAAAATGGGACACAAAACAAGGCCTTGGTTTACCCTACCATGCGGCTCAGCCTCCCGCGGGGCAGAAACAAAAGACCTGATGACCTAAAGCCATCATGCTGGGTCTCTCCTTTCATCCAAGACAGGCACCAGTCTGAACAGCAAATGCCCCAAGAAGGAAACATCGCCTCCCTATACGGACGCCCAAATGGACTATAAATATCACCAGAATCATCAAACCTTTCACCCCATTGTGGCAGGCTGCACTGCACACTAACGGGCTGCCCAGCAGGCCAACGTGGACCCTCGCCGAGCAGACATGGGACCAACATGGGGTGGACATTTTAAACAAGCGAAGTATAATCTCAATGCTGACGCTGCTCTTATGTTCTGCTTTCTGTGTTCATGCTACCCACACTTTAGAGTTAGCATACCATGCAACCATTTAACCATCGCTTAGGCAGACAAATGAGAAGTACTACCACCTCGTCAGCCTTGCGGGAGTTTACTAATATAATCTTGTTCGTATAATCGCTGCATAAGCCGTGTTCTCCTCCTTTGTCTCTCCTCTACCTACTCTTCCATGACGTGCATTATGCTAACATATTTGAACCAAAAGCAAAGCCAAACTACAGTGATAGAGACCATATTATTATCATAAAAATGTGCTAGAATAGCGATTGCCATAACATGTAATGCCAAGGTTTCCACCATAACTTGAAATGTAAACTTGCGGTCTAGCCTAATAAATGCTATGATTATTTAGACCAGATGTCACTGGATAAAATGCATGTCCATCTCTTAAACCTAGACAAGCATAACAAAACCAATATCGAGAGACGGAAACAATGACACTCAACATGAACACTGATCTTAAGCTACCGAACTAAACGTGTTTATAATTTACAATTGCATTGAACACTCAAATGTTTATGCTAATCGAGCACCTAAACTATTGCAATTTTGTTATTTCTAACTAAAACATGTGCCTGACAATCGATTACCACAACCTGTAATGCAAATGTTCACTAATGTACCCAGATGTCACTGCTGTGGCGCACCAAGGTGTATTGTTACTTTTGTGCACACGAAAAATAAAGAATAAAAAAAAAAAAATATGATTAAAGGTTAACAAATTGATAATTGGCCTCAGAGGGAATATGATAGCATTTACAAATATATCCGAGGCCAATAGAGCCATAAATAGGACTACACATAGGACATGACTCACGAATTACAAATGGAAGAAAGGAGATTTAGCCTAAGGCAAAGAAAAAGTTTTTTTTTACAGTAAGAACGATAGGGATGTGGAATTTTCTGTCTAAAGATGTAGTTTTATCAGAAAACCTATATAGATGTTTAAACTGCAACTGGATGCATACTTGCAAAAACATAATATTCAGGGCTTTCATTTTTAATTAGTGGGGTAATAGCTTATTGATCAAAGATAAATCTCACTGGCATTCTGGGGTCAAGAAGGATTTTTTTCCTGCTTTGTTCCCAAGTTGGAGAGAGTTTCAAACTGGGTTTTTGTCTTCTTTTGGGTGAACTACAAAAAAATTAGTTGAGAAATGTGAGAAAGGCAGAACTTGGACTCACGTCTCTTTTCAGCTATGTAACTACGTAACTATAAAACAATTTAGAAAGATGGGTACGGGCCTTGACATATCCCACCTCTCTGTTAATGCAGGAGTCATTGAGCTTTCTTTGGGCTCAAGCCCCAGATGTTTGCGAAACATAGCATCACCTCTGGTCCCCGCCAGTCCTCCATGCCATCACCTCCACCCCTGACAGTGGATGGGAGAGAACGACAGCGTGACTTGCTCGGATTCCCCCGGCTGTCTGAATTGTGATTGGAAATTCTGGAGGAGTGACAAACGAAATGAAAGCAAACATAGCCAAGCAGTAAAAGAAATCACACACGGGGTTATTCACGAAAGTAAGAATTTACAGTTAATATAATTTTAAGGTGAAAAAAGCTAAACTGGAAAAAAAGGTTAACTATAGTCTCAGTCCGGAAGTTAGTGTCACGAAAGGTGTGATCCTAATTTCTCATGGAAATCTGCTGCCCTCTAGTGACCGAAATCATCTTTCTAATCTAAACTATAATATCCCCACTCTGAAATAAGAATATTTAACCCACCCTGTAAAGCGGGTCTTTGGATAAGAAGTGCGTACAAATATAATGACAGGACTTCCAATAAAAAACATATTTATTGAAGGAAGTGATTGGAATTACGACAAAGAGTACAACAATACACAATATATCTCCCTATTAAAAATTATAGAGGAGAATTAATATTCATTTTGTGTTTCTTTTTCCAAAAGCAATGGTTCATTTAGAATTATTATCTGTGACAGGAAACGGTCGTACTCTCTGCCCCACGGGCTGAAACCAGAGATACTGACAGCAATATTCTGCACACAGCTCTAACTTCTGAGTGGAGTCCTGCACCAGTTATATGATCTCAGAAATTTAGAGTGACCGAAAAACCATCCAGTCAAAAAATTTTAAAAATGCAGAAATATTATTTAGTAAAATTGGCCCCTTATTTGGGTGTGGGGTTTGACTACCATGCTGAACAGTCACGTTTTGACAGAGCTCTGCGAGAATAACTGACTTTAAGCATACAAGCTGGCTTGGTTTGCTGATTTACATATGATAGCTGTCTCCTTGCACCCTTGGGAGCCAATGTGTATAACTCGTGGAAGCATTTATGACCCTATTGGGTGGATTTCACACCTACCTAGGCCTGTGAGGAGGTTCATATGAACTGGAGTCAACCGAAAACGCCGCTCTGATTTTCTTGACAGTTGCCGGTGAGAGAAATCCTGGAGTTGCAGACCCCACCAATTTCAGAGCACCTGGTGTGACATACTCACCACGGTGGATCCAACAAGTCCCTCCAAAACTGGTGGCTTGCTACCTTCTACCCAAGATGGACTTGATGCGTTATTTGATGCTTTTTGGGTGAGGTTTGACAGTGGCCGGCACCTTCCAATGCTGGAGATTAACAGAGAAACTGGACTCAAATGTCCGGCAGCCCTCGACCTTTATAGAATCCAGTACCATTTGCTAGTTGGAAAGGCCTATGCTGCCCAATGTGTTCAGACTTCAAAGAGCCCGCTATGTGGTCCTAGAGCCACGGCCCATACTCTTCTCCAAGCAATGGTCTTCAAGGAGGGGTACCTCTCTGCACCGCCGATGCTCCCGTACTAGCCATAGGAGGAGAGAAGGACATCGGCATTGAATGGATAGCATTGGCTGAATGTTCTAGCTTCGTCAAAGTGTTTACCTCCTGTCTGCCATTTACAATTTGTGCTCAGCACTATTTAATGATGGCCATGCATTATTATTATTTTTAATTGTATCTTCTTCTCTACCAATAGGCATGTCCTCGTCGCTTTCTGACAGGTTTAAGCTGAATTAGTATCTCTTTCAACTCCTCTTAACAACATGCAACAATTTTACTAAAGGTTAATACATGTTGCCTTATACGCTCTCCTTATTTTGGATATAAGTGATACCTGATTATATTTATGAGTTAGGGAATGTCTGTAACACCATTTACCATACATGTTGAGCCATAAGGTATATTGAGGTAACTGTTTATCGATTTGATGCTATACTACAGGAATGGCCGTCTAATCGCATTATTCCTCTTAATTCTCGTATAGTTCTCGTATAATTCTAAAATGTTGGCTGCTATCAAATAGAATATCTGCAGCCACTACCAACAGGAGAAATGGCTTTCAAGCATTCCTTCTTTTCTATCTAATCCATCAAGTTTGGAATGCAATCTCTCAGACGCCAGCACTATCTTCCTGAGTCAATCATTTTAAAACTTCTACTGCTCCAATTCTCCCAGGAATCTACAATCTGAAACATCTCCACCAACACCGCCATCTCTGCAGTAAGAACGATACCTATTACACATCTGTGTTTCACTTCCATCGATAACACATGCATGGGGAAAAAAACATATTGTAGTAACTGACGGTACACTCCACTGACTGATCATCCATACTTTATTTTACCCCCCAATAAAAACATGCATTTATTTAATTCGGGGTATATCTTCAGATCTTGTCTGCAGCCTTTGTAAGCCCTCCCCTTCTAACCCTGCCCATAACCAAAAGTATCCCAGCATGCTTCATAAACGAAAGTATCCCAGCATGCTTCATAAACGAAAGAATCCCACAATGTTTCATAACGAACGTATCCCAGCATGCTCGATAACTGAAAGTATTCCAGCATGCCTCATAATCGAACATATGCCAGCATTCATCACCACTGAACGTATCTCGGTACGCATCACCTCTGAATATATACCGGCATGCATCACCACTGAAAATATGCCGGCATGCATCACCACTGAACATATCCTGGTACGCATCACCACTGAACGTATCCCAGCATGCATCACCACTGAACATATCCTGGTACGCATCACCACTGAACGTATCCCAGCATGCATCACCACTGAACGGATACCAGCATGCATCACCACTGAACATATCCTGGTACGCATCACCACTAAACGTATCCCAGCATGCATCACCAGTGAACATATACCAGCATGCATCACCACTGAACGTATCCCAGCATGCATCACCACTGAACATATCCCGGTACGCATCACCACTGAACATATCCCAGCATGCATCACCACTGGATAAATCCTAGCATGCATCACAATCAAACATAACTCAGCGTGTGTGCCAAAATGCTGGATTGAAAGCCACTGTACATGTTTTATATTAAAGAACACTTAACACAGGAAACCACGAGGACTTCTGTGGGTTCCAAGTACTTTAGAAAAATGACAAAAAAAACACAAGACAAGATTACAGGAACATGCATATATTGTGCACTTCAAGACGGCTCCTGAATAAAGTGAATAATTAAAAGTACACAAGATGGTGACAAGTCATCAGTAATGGAATGTCTGTATAGGACGGGTATTGTTACCGTCTGGGATAAAGCATGGAATTCCTTAGACGCACTCATTTAAATATAATCATTCTAACTAATGGCCCAACTATAGAAATAGCCTAGCAAAAAAACAAAAACTAACAAAGGGGACTTGAAAGCCGGATTGCAAAAAGACAGGAAAAAATAAAACAATAGAAAAGACAGAATGGAAGTCAGCCGAGGCTTATGCATTAAACTTTGAATTGCTGCGAATTGAAAAGGGATTTTCTAATTTGTCCCCTCACATATTCACAAACAAGTCATAAAATGTTGGAAATGCAAAATAATCACATTTTATCAACAGTGTAACTTCTTTCCTGCATATATTTACATGATAGATTGCACTTACCTGTTGTTGTCCCACCCACCCTCCCTTTGCTTTCAGGTGTTTCCCGTTTGGTCACGGCGGCGGGGGATGGAGAGTAAAGTTGGGGGGAGAAAAGAGTGAGATGGGGAAAAAGTTTGGAGTTCAGGGCTAATAGGTAGGCCTTTGGACTGGTTTGGTAGGTTCGAGCTTGTAGGTAGCTCCGAACCGGGGTGTGTAGGGGTGTCTCGGTATGCCCCTACACTTGTGGTGCCCTTTGGTGGCAATGGATGGTGCCCTTTGGTGGCAATGGTCATGTTAAGTAAAATGTTACAATGTTTGGGTATTATGTTATGTGGGGGTGGGTCATTGTCAAGGGGTTAAATTGTAAATGCAGGATGGTAATTGCGCAGGCCAACATTGGCCTGCTGTTGACAATGACCTTTATATTTTATGTTAAGTATCAAATAAAGCTGTGATATAATTTTGCCAAAACCATGGTGTCAATGCTTTTATTGGAAATGGGTATTTGGTGGGGGTTTTAAGCAGAGGCTGACAAGGCGAATATGCACATGTCAAAGGTACCTTAGAAATGAATACTTAGTGACCAACCAGTTGTGGAGCACTGTTAGGCCTCATTGTATTGCTGCCTAGGTGATTGCACTGTTAACCTAAAATATTGCTTTCCGGGAATAACGTAGTTAAAAGAGTGAGGGAGGGTAGGGGTATAACTAATCAAAATCTGTGTCAGTTAAAAAAGTGTGTCCCAGTCTAAACACAAATTAACGTATTGAGTGTTGGAATATTTGTGTTCTATTCTAGAAATATTGTATGGACAGAAGGATGCTGTGGTCCAATCCCACTGATAACATGTCCATTAGTAGATTAGAAGAAAGCTCTTCTTCGGAGCACCAAGGTGTGGGACAGAAGAATTAACAATAAAAAGATTGATACCTTGACTATTTTGAACTGCTAACAGCCTCCCACTAGCATCCTCCCATCCTTGCAATCTAACTAGACACAAGAAGGATACATTGAAAAAGCTTTACGGCACATTAAAGTGCAAGAGTGAATTTGAGGCAAAAACACCCAATGCGCTTATCGGTACTCAAAGCATGCACCTTCGTCAGGGTCTGACACAAACTGGATTCCCTATACATTCCCTAAACACACACACATTACATCCTTTACAAAACACACAACACGTCCCCTACACATATACACCCTGTGTGGGCTCAGATTTTGCCTCTGTGGGCAGATAAACCTTATGGGCAGATAAATTAAACCTGGCAAAATTCGAAGGTCTAAATATTTTGTTAAAGGTTGGGGAGTTTCTAGACATGGCTTCCACATTTCACTTTAAAACAAACTCTGTCTCTGTCTGTCTTGGAGCCTGCCTGTTCCTCTTCAAGAGGACGATCTCCTGAAATTTAGAAGAAGCATGTTGAAATTTCTATGGTGTAAAAATTCTTGATTGTTACCTACAGTGGTTCTAAAAGCTAGGAACATGGGAGGTCTGTGAGTTTCTGACTCTTTTTTCTCTTTTATTGCTCAAGCCCTTAGGTAGATTATCCTACCTGGCAGTAACAGATGGGTGGACATCGAAGATACTGCATGTATTCTGTGGTGTCTTTCAAACATCCGTTGGATTTTCTACCCATCTACGATCGACCAACTGCTTTGAAGGCTGTAACGTTCATGGGACAAACTTGTACATGTGTTGGCAATGTGAACTGGTTACTGACTTCTGGAGGAAGGTATTCACACTTATGAATGACTTTCTCGGAATGGACATTGAACCAAAGCCAAGCCTAGCATTCCTGAACGTTCCACTTTCTTAGTTTCATCTCTGTCTAACTACACTAATAATGTCCAACAAGGTTTGTACTGCAGCACAAATCTGCTTGGCAAACTAGTGGAGGGACGGTGTTCCAACAGTTAAGACTTTTCAGTCTAAACTCAAATTTATCCAGGACATGGAAGAGATGACCATGAAACTAAATGGGAAACAAGCAACCCATAAAAGAATATAGTATCCAAAGGTGCTACATGGAGTGTCCACCCTCGCCACCTGTAGCTACCTTGACAAACTTTCATTCAGACAATGGACGTATAGAAGCATCAATGATTGTCTACCTTCTTATTGACATGTTTCAGTTCTCTGATTCTTTTTTAGCATGCGTATCCCGATACTGTCTTCTTCTCTCTCTGTATCGTTGTCCAATCCCTTCACCGCTTCCTTTTTTCTCCTTTAACTCTCTGTACCTATTGGCTTCAATTCCTTTAATTATTTTTTCTCTAAGATACTTTATTACTCTTAGTCTATATGTTATTTTGTGGCTTTAGATTGTTTAAACAAAACAAAAAAAGAAAATTGGGAGGTTTAGAAACACATTGATGGTGAATGCTTCTATTCTCCTTTGAACCCGGGGCTTGAGAGGAACCTTTATACCAACTTAAATGTTTGTCCTTTAATAGGTTTGCATCCTATGTCTAAGATATTTAAAGGACCACTACAGTGCCAGGAAAACAAACTCGTTTTCCTGGCATTATGTGGTCCTTAAGTCCCCTTCTCCCGCTGGGCTGAAGGGGTTAAAACCCCTTTAGCCAGTTACCTTTATCCAGCGCTGGGCTCCCTCGGCGCTGGTGACCTCTTCTCCCCCTCTGACGTTGGCTCCCAAGTGGAGCCGAATGCGCATGCGCAGCCAGAGCCGTGCACGCATTAAAAACGCCCATAGGAAAGCATTACTCAATGCTTTCCTCTTGACGTCCAGCATCTTCTCACTGTGATTTTCACAGTGAGAATCGCGAAAGCGCTTCTAGCGGCTGTCAGGAAGACAGCCACTAGAGGCTGGGTTAACCCTCACTGTAAACTTATCAGTTTCTCTGAAACTGCTATGTTTACAGCTGCAGGGTTAAACCTAGGGGGACCTGGCACCAAGACCACTTCATTGAGCTGAAGTGGTCTGGGTGCCTAAAGTGGTCCTATAGCTATGTTGGCCTCAAATTTCAAATTCCTTTTTCCCTTCGATAATTTCCAGTTTTGTTAATAAATCTCTTTAATCTGTGTTAGGTGCTGTTTCTTATAAATAAAAAAACCCCACATGTCTCACGTTAGCTAGAAATCCACCACGTACCCATAGTGACATCACTGTGATTCAGCCATTTCTGATAATATAATGTAACACGGCTTTCCCCCACACAGGACAATATCCAGGAATCTAACGCACAGTAACAGCCAGACATCCAAATACTGACACCATATCCCGCACGCTGATCCAAAGCAGAAATGTTTTTTTTATCATTTGTTATTATCATGTTACACGTTGCCTTTTTAAGATTTTGTTTTTATTTTAGCTGTCACAATAAAGTGTTTTTAGTTAATAAAGACAGGCGTCATCTAAAATCTTCACTATTTTTAAGGGAATAAGGGAGAGCCCTCCTCCCATGTGAAATTCTGGGAGGGTAATGAGAGTAGATAGATCCTCCAGTCAGTGGCAAAGTAAGTGAGGAGCAGGTGGTACATTGTACCCGAGCCACATCAAATTTACAGCCAATTCTACTCTATCTGCAACTACTGGAAATTCTCATATCATTAGCTTGATAACAGTGTGTACCGCGGTAAGAAATATATTTGGGGGTTGGGTTACTGCATACAGCTACATAAGAGTCCCCAAAAAGGCGGAACGTGATCTTGTTAATCAACGCTTTAAATGCTGTATTTGACCACTAGGGGGCATCTAAGGTATAAATACAGAACGGATGTCATTGGATAGATAGCGTTTACAATTAAATGGTTTAAAGGGGGCCTATCACCTTAGGTACTTTTTCAAGAGCATTACATTCTATCTATACATTGAGCGAGCAGATTTGTTAGCAAATATATGGACTCGCGCCTGTCAATCAATTCTTCAGCATAGACTCTATGTGGAAGTATTGATTGTTAAGGGAGAGCAGAAAAGACCTCCCCTCCCGCGTACCCAGGCAGGGAAAATCGAGCAGAGACTGATTTTTCTCTTGACTTATACATTTGATTCGGGTCTTTGCTTATTAAATAGGTTATTCACTAACCTGGGACTTGCTGGATCTTCCCTGGGAAATTGCAAATTCAAGGCTATAATAGCTACGCTGGATTCATGGTTTACTGAATAAGCTCTTCCTGTCCAGAGGTCTACCATCCACCAAACCCCACACCAGAAAATCTTCATATTCACCATAATCACCTCCTCCCAGCCATCTTCCATCAAACCCCACACCAGAATATCTTCATATTCACCATAATCACCTCCTCCCAGCCATCTTCCACCAAACCCCACACCAGAATATCTTCATATTCACCATAATCACCTCCTCCCAGCAATCTTCCACCAAACCCCACACCAGAATATCTTCATATTCACC